ACACATGCAGACATTTTACATAGATAACTTCGAACATACAGCGAGAGAAAATAAATCGGCGCCTATGATCATTTTTTTATCTCGACAAAAGTCAAATTCCAACAAAAGCAGCTAATTAAGTTCTGCAATTGCACACAGGAAATTTGATATCCGTTATTTTCATAGAATAGATCGTTCTAGCGTTAATAGATCCGCAATTTGTATTATATCTCTTTAACAATGTACGCATTCTGCTCAACGAGTCCTCTAATATATTCCCTTAAATTAGAAACGAGATTTATTATTTCGTAGATAATGTCTGGCGATATTTACCGACGAAGAGGATAATGAATGCTAGTTGTCACTTCCGTGAAAATTATAATCAATGTCAGCCATTGATACCGCGAGGGAAAAATCTATTTTGCTATCTCACTATCGTAACTAGATTACAACCAGACAACAAGGAAAAGATAATATAAAATACACCGATTTCCAAAGTAAACAGAATCTAGCGACAAAACTATTATCTCTCGTGTGGTGGCGCGAACATTACGGCACGGCAAAAGTAACTAATTTTAACTTGATCGCGTGTAGCAACAGTTTTTACGTTCAACTCTTTCAGCGATATTTCCGTTGAAAACAAATTTGTTTCAATGGAAATTTAACGCGTTAAAATTCTGTGGAATGCGCCTAATATGCAGAAATTTATTTCAGCAAGTTTATGAATACCTACGGCAATTTTCTTGAAGGCCAATGAACTGTTACATACAAGAAACAGCGTAATATTTCGAAGTACCGAAAAAGATAGTACGTTGTCTTTACCGAGCTTTATTTGGACGACAATATAGACAAGCAAGATTGTAGTGCAATAACGCGCCGAGTCGAGGGTTCGTTCATTGAACGTGAGTTCAAGAAGGGTCCTAGTTTAACGAGCAGAGCAGTTTTTTATTAAAAGCAACCATAATCAAGTAATGTAATGCGTCTCGATCTCAAAAGTAAATCTCGATTAGATCTCTAGATTAGAAGGAAAAATATAGAATTTTCAAAGAAGGGGATATAAGAATTGGGCAAGAGTCAGTAATTGAGAAAGAACTAGGGCCAGTTTCACAAACGTCTGTTAATCACCCTAGTAGCACAGTGTACTGACCAATCATTGGTTAAACATTGACCCAATATTTGGTTGTATTGGGCCAATGCACTGTGCTACTAGGTCAGAGTTCTGTCGACTCCCTATATTTTTCCATCTTACTATTTAATGAATTCACCTTCGATTAGCAGTTAACCGATGTGAAACTGGCCCGTAATCCACCATCATTTCATCTTGACAAAAGTCTACGTACACTAGGAATCACTAACGCCTTCCCATATGAATTTAGGCACACGTAAAACACATATGTATACATTTTTCATGTATGTATGTGCAAAATGTATAAATGTGTTGATATGTGCACAAATTCCTGCGGGAAGGCATCAGTGATTCCTAGTGTACATGCCAACAAATCCAACACTGAAAAGACAAATTTCGCTACCATAGCTAATCATGGTTTGCTTGAAATATTTTGCTACCATCTATCAGTTTGCTATCGCATCTAATACAATAGGCACAGTAGCGAAATATTTAGCTACACAGTTGGAAAATTTGTGTTTTCTTGTTAAAAGAAATGCCCGTTAAAATTTTTATGTTAAATGGTTAACACATTCATGTGTTAATTTAACAGATTGCTCTTATGTTAATTAACCTTAAATGTAAAATTATTAAAATAACTGAAAAGAAATGTTAAAACAACACAATGTGTACTTATTTTGTAATCTTACACAATACATATGTTCTATATTATTAGTAACAAGATTTATCTGTTAAAATTTACAGAATGAAATGTTGATTTTATTCTATATAACATAAGAGTGATCTCGGACCATTTGGCTTATTACATCTGGGCCTGGATAGATCAGTTGGAAGAGCACTCGCCTGGCAAGCTGAAGGTTCTAGGTTCGAATCCTATCCCGTTACTTTTCTCGCCGAAAAATAAGTGGCGTGTCTTATTGTTAGTGCCTACCTCCCCGGAGATACATTCCTATTTATTATGAAATATAAAAATTACATTTTTTAAATTCATTTTGTCATTAAAAATATGTTAAGTTTACACAAAATTTATGTTAAATGATTTTGAGATTTGCATTTATTTTGTGTTAAAATATTAACAGACTATTAGTGTGATCCTTTAACATATCCATATTATGTTAAATTAACACAAAAATTTGTGTGGACCGTTTGGGACATGTGATATCTGTTAAATTTAACACAAATTTTTCAACTGTGTATCACAACTAAATATTAGCTGTCCATATTTTACAACTGAAATTTAGTTGCCACATGCAGTTTTTAGCTACGGCAACTACATTTTTCTTTCCGTGAACGTCACTTCTGTAATCTGAGACAAGAAATCCGGAATCCGTAATTTTTACGGCTTTATTTGTTCTGACGTAAATAAATCTAAAAATTTTACGATTCCACACAGGTGGAAAATTTTCTTGTTAAAAAAATTGCCTGTTAAAATTTTTGTGTTAAACGTTTAACACACTCATGTGTTAATTTAACATATCGCTCTTGTGTTAATTGACCTCAAATGTAAAATTATTAAAATAACTGAAAAGAAATGTTAAAACAACACAATACACATGTCTATATTATTAGTAACAAAATTTATCTGTTAATATTTACAGAATAAAATGATTTTATTCTATATAACACAAGTGAGAGTGATTTCGAGCCATTTGACTTCTTACATCTGTAAAATGTAAACATTACACTTTTAAATTCATTTTGTCATGAAAAATATGTTAATTTTACACAAAATTTATATCAAATACTTTGAGATTTGCATTTATTTTGTGTCAAAATATTAGTGTGATTACTTAACGTATCCATATTATGTTAAATTAACGCAAAAATTTGTGTGGACCGTTTGGGACGTGTGAAATCTGTTAAATTTAGCACAAATTTTTCAACCGTGCAGCCGCGGCACGTAAGAGAACGGTTTAGTCCGACGAAACGAGAATTTGTGTTTCACGAAGTGAAGTTTGTCGCGCGTATTGCGTAGGCCCGGCCAGACCGGTTACGCGCAAAATTTAACATCCGACAAGTGGACCGCAGCGCGATACGCGGTTTCCCGGGTTTATTTACCCCCGTATCGTCGTTCGCGCGACTTTTCCGTTCATGCGGATCGCAAACGGCCGCGCGTAACTCGCGTCTGAATGGCAACGTGAAAGCGCGCGACCGTACGGCGAGCTGGACTCTCTCCGGCGATGTGTTCAACTCGTACGCGCGCGCGAATTAAATCGCACGAAGGAAGCGGCGGATTACGCGCGGGTCCGCCAATCGCCGCGCGCCACCGACGGCGGGCGGCGATTTAACCGAAGCTGGCGGATCTAAATTTAAATGCGACGAAGAATCGCGCCGGAATGTAGTCCCGCTCGCGCAAACGACCGGCGTTTTTGCCCTTGTCATGAAAAACCTCGTCCCTCCGCCTGCCGACGATCGAAATTCGATAACTTGCGCGTCGAGAAATATCGAATCGCGCCACCGTTGAAATGTCATTCTCAAATGTCATGGATTAAAGGGTGTTTTTATGGGGGAATTTACGCGAAGGAGGAAAAAATGTCAGTAGCGCGTGTTTATTGTGGCGGCAAAGTCGTACGAAATTGGAACAGCGTTTTTTTCGATATTAATACACAACGAAAGTTGAAATCCACCGATTGGTCTTGGTTTTCCAACAAATCTGACTATGAATACCGGCCTTAAATATGCCTTGCGTTGATTAAATTATTATGACCCAATATTGGGCCATACTTCTTTTAATCGTCGGTATAACGTTGGCTAAATGCAAAATCCAACGTTTCACCAACCACTGGCTATCGATAAACCAGCGTGACGCCGCCAACGTCAAACCATTGTTGTGTCGGAACGTCGGGCCAATATTACAGCATTAAAGAGGCAAGGTAGATCCAGAGTCGTCTCGAGAGTAGCAAGTGTAAAAAATATAAACGTGGGGGATAAAAAACGTACGTTCCTAGTACCCGCTTCTCTCGAGACGAGAGTGTACGGCGAAACTCGAAGGTGCAGGGAGTGCAGGTCGCGCAGTTAAGAACGTTCGGAGGGAAGCGCGTTTCGCGCACGGGCGGATGCGCCGGTAAGGTTAAGTTCCCGTCCGACGAGCAGGATCGGGGATTCGAACGCGAGCGGACGTGGACGGGGCCAACGGTGCTCACCTGCGTCCCCCGAATGACGATGACGAGCGCGGCGCCGGCCGCGGTGAGGGCCCACGTGAACAGGGTCCCGAGGAGCGCCTGGGTGATCGCCGAGTGATCCTTGAGCATCTCGAGCCGCCGTCACATAGGGCGAGGGAGAGACCCGCGATCGGTCGACCGTGTCCCGCGGCCAACTGCCGTGTGTGGCGACGGACGCGGCGCAACGGAGACGCAACGGGAGCGTGCGGAGCGAGCGAGTAACGAGCGCGAACGCGAGAGCCGGGGCCGCGCGGAGATCTCCGTCTGGCGTGAGCACTCAGTCCCCCGCGCTGCTTATCTCAACCACCGCGCGCGCACCAGCGACGCGCGAGCATCGAGCCACTACCACCAGCGTGCCCGCCGCCGCGCCGGCCGAGCGCGACGCGCGCGTGCACCGAGATACCCACCCGCCGTCCCCGCGCCCCGCCGTCTCAATCGCGACTTCCGAATATCGCAGGCGCGTGGGCGCCGCGGCTGTTACGTAGCGCGCGTACACACACACGCACACGAAGCGCGGCCGCGTCTATTTACACTAGCTCTAATTTACACGTTTGCGTAATTGATTGCCGGCCGATTCGAAATTTTCGACCCTCGAAAGAGGCAACGTCCGACACGCGTTGGATAATTCGGAAGCGACTTGGCGAGCGATCAATTTGTAGATTTGAATTTAACGGATGACTATACGAAGCCAATTCGAATTCGAATCGAGTTCCAATCGAGAGGCGAATGAAATATCGAATTGGACTCGAATGTTCTCTCCCGAAGTTCCGCGCGATGCGCCAATAGCGCGCAGAGAGACCGGCGCGGCCAATGAGCGCGCCCGACCAATCGGCGCCATCCGAGTCTCCGTGTTCGCGCGCGACCGAGTTCAGCCTGAAGTCGCGCGACTTTCGTCCGCGTCCGGCGCCGACGTCTCAAGGTTCCGTCCGTGTCGGTGGCCGAACGGTGTCAAGGCGCTCGCCTTGATCGACAATGCCCGCCGGCGAAACGCCGTAGCGTTTCTCGCGCAGCGGCACGGCTGCCGTCGATTCGCGAGGCCACGCCACCACCTTCCGCTCCGCCCGGCGGCCCAGCAGACGACGCGCCGACGGACCCGCGGGGCGGTAGGAGCGACTGGGAGCGCAACGTCAACGTGCAAACATGGCGTCGGCAACGGTAAGTGTACAAGCTCGAGCCTCCGCGCGATCGATCGCATACTGACGCCACATGTCTCTCTCTCTCTCTTTTTTTTTAGTCGTAGTGCCTAACCACGAGGTATCCGATTGTCACTCGTAGAGCCAAGTATAAGTGTCGCGGGGAGGAGCGAGGGTAAATAAGTTCTAGTCGGCGATAGGAGGGTCGTCACTGACATTCGCTTGCGCATCCCCGTACGTATACTAGCGTGGACACTAGCGAGGAAGGGCTCGCACGTATCGGTAATCACGCCCTTTGCGGAAGCGAATGTTTCGCCGGGTTCAGCCTCGCTCTCTTTTTCTTTTTCTTTTTGCCTTACTTTTCGAGAAACGCAGGTTACGGCTTGAGTTTACACGTTCGGTGATGCGGATAGAGGCATGATAAGTGGCATGGAAGTTACTTCGTGCATGCTCGATATCCCTTTTACCGAATGTCACGCGATCTCGTTTCTAGGTGCCTCTGCTGATGGACGACGACACGATTGCTTTCGGGGAGGAGGAGGAGGCCGCCCAGAATGCCGGCAAGCTTAAGTACGAAGACCTTTAGATAAGCCACGGAAGTGGTTGGGCCGTGCACTTGTAAGATAAAATATTGTCTTCTGTCGTTCTAGACACCCGTACGTTACGCTGTTTCACTTGGCCTTCAGGATAGCGGCTATAATAGTTTACTTGCTTTGCGGTTTGTTTTCGAATAGTTTCATAGCGAGCTTTGTAACGGTGGTGCTACTTTTGTCGATGGATTTTTGGACCGTTAAAAATATCACGGGGAGATTAATGGTCGGCCTTAGATGGTGGAATTATGTGGATGACGATGGCAAAAGTCATTGGATTTTTGAGTCTAGAAAGGTTCGCTCATTATACAGATATTTATGTACGCTTTGATTTACGTCGCTCTGTATGCGCGACATGACGACGAGTCTTTGATTAGCGAGAAAGTGCCTCTTTTTCTATTCCTCTTGACATTGTAGCGAGAAGGATCGTTGAATTCTACCTGAACGAGACGCAAAGCCTATATCGCAGTTTCTATCGCGCAAGTTCCACTCGCATAGATTATATTGAAACGTAGCTTTCGATTATCGAGTATATTTTTTCTCTTCACTTGTCACGTTCCGGCAAACGCTGATTTAACTGGATCGAGTAGTTCAAGGTTTACCGGCTGTTACATTTTTATGCCCTTGGCACTTTCTAAAACTATTTATATGCATTATTCAGATTTTACAAGTAGGCGGTTACCCAAGACATTTATGTTCCAGCCGCTGTTGTGTATTTATAGAATATGTAGATAAAATAATATAGCCTGATAAATGACTACTTAAGTACGATCCTCATGTGTGCAAGTCCAACGTCTGCTATGTGCCCTGTGTTTCAGGGTGCACAACAGAATCGCATTAACGCAACAGAGGCGCGAATCTTTTGGTTGGCCCTGATCTTGTGCCCACTTTTTTGGTCGATGCTGTTCATCGCGGCGTTATTTAGCTTCAAATTCAAGTGGCTTCTGCTCGTTTGCATCGCCATAGTTTTGAACGGCGCGAATCTGTACGGCTACGTTAAATGTAAGATGGGAAATGATCAAAACATTTCAGCGGCCACGAGCGATTTCTTCAGGAAGCAAGTGTTTCAGAACGTACGTATATTTGTACGACACGTCGAATAACATATTTTTTCTCACCTGATTCGCTTTGCTGCAGGTCACTTCAATCATGACCAGAAGTCCACCAACGAATAATTCCAATCAACCGACTAATGTAATATAAATTGATCAATTTGGCAACATTAATGTATATGTGCGTGTGTGTCATTTAAAATTTATATTCACGTGATAATTTACTACTTGCAGATGTTTGTACATAATAATAATGTTAGACAGTATCTTCTAAGTACAATATTATATAATAAATCGTTATCAATCTTCACATACCGCCCTACTGCTACTTGACGAGATGCCTGCTTCATCCATTATCCAGTCCAGTTTTTCTTTTATGTCGCCAACAGTGGAAGGGTGGAAAGGAATACTTGGATTTTTATGTTAGTACTAGTTTATTAATGCCGCAAGGCAATACATAATGTACACGGTATTCTTCCTTGTCAACAGACTCTTCCTATTACACAATATTTATTTTGTATAGTTGTTAATTAGTAACATTGCATTTATCATGTTTTTTTTTACCTCAGCCTGTTGTATTCTTTCTGGCAAGAAAGTATCACAAAATAATTTCCCATTCTTTCAACGATATTTAGTATTTGACTTATTCTTTGCATTTAAATTCATATTCTTCTTCGGATCCGCGACACTTTACTGGATTCATCTAACGATGAATTTGAGAGGCGATCTTATACACAATAACAAACTCGCTATATTGCACGGAGCTACATTAGCCGATTGTATTTTATTATATTATCAAAACTGCTCCGAAGACACGCGCGAGTTGTGTACGTTTTCAAGAAGAAGAATACAACAAACCACATATCGTTTTGCTATACATTTTAAATCGTTAAAAAATTATGAAGACTAACAAGGGTTACGGTACTAAAATACAACATGCACGTAAGCTGTTTTCGGAATGATACAAAAAACTTAGTGTAACATTACAATTATTACATTATAATATAAATGTACGAATATTTTGTGGACTTCCTTGTAGCAGTAAATTTTAGTGAGTATAGATTAATGATATCAACTTATAACTAGTAGTATATTTATACAATAATTCAATTTCGTTTCTCGTAACATATTTTAGCTTGGGACTTTAAACGTGAAGCCATTAAGAAAGTTGGCAAAGTACATGTGTTGATAATAATTACATTAAAAATTCGAAATTTATAAGTTTCTCACCAAAGTTCTGCCAAGTTTAACGCTATTAAAACTTAATGCGCTTTGCGGTATTCTAAGAAGAATGTTTAATGGGATGAAACGCTCAATGGACTTGTTACAGATGAATACTTATAACAATGATTTCAAGGTTATTTTTAGCAAAAGTCTTTTTCTCTTTTTAAGAACATTACAATGAAAACCACAGTGTGTACAGGGCGTTTGACTTTTAAGGTTTAACAGCTACTGATTTTTCCTTCTTGAGAAATGTTCCCAGAGCAAGAGCTACTTTACCAAAATTTGCACTTGAAATAAATTAGCTTTGTAAACTTTGAATGATTAATTGTACAGCAATGAGGTAAAAACATTTCAATGGAAATAAGTCAGTGTTATTTACAGATGAAACTTTCCAATGTACAACTAATTGTTCAAATATCATCCACTCCTATTCTAATTTTCTAAAACATATTGTTTTGAGTTTTGTGTCTTCAGTCGCATATTGTAAGAGCTAATAAACGTTATCCAGTCATACACCATGTATAACATTAACAATATCTTGAAGAGTGTGAGTCTTTACCGATTACAGTCTTTGAAACTATGCACGCCCAAAATAATAAAACTGAAAATATTACAGAATCTTTTCCTGCCGTATCCAGAGATAATCGCAACTTAATTTGCTTAATAACGCTTAGTAGGAGCATGTTATATAAAGAATTTTGCTAGAGCTATTTTTTTTAGACTGAACTAAAATTATAAAAGTAATTACATAAAAACTATTGTATAAATATATATTTCCTTCAAAGTAAAATACTACAGGTTGAAGTAAATGCTTTTGGTTACAGTCTGAAGGCCAAATGTTAAGTAGTAATAAAGAATCTGCTGCAATTGCCAGAAATGTAACGTGATAACTTAAAATGCATCGTTAATTTGAAGTGTTACTGTTTTTTAATGAACTTTGAGACGTAAGGCAAATTGTAGAATTATTTTTATAACTAGTATTATCATTATATAATATTATTACAAGTAGCACTATAATTATTACCATTACACTATAAATTAGTGAAAAATGCCGCGGTTGTAATGGTTTAACAGGCAGTGAAAAATTTGATGTAATTACTTATTTAATTACGTACACTTTAATATTAATAAAATTAAGTACTTTTTTTTCAAGCACAAAGAACAATAGTAAATGCTATATGAGATGGCCCTCAGTTTGTTAACAGAAGAAAAAATATCGCGACACTAAAGCGGATAAGCATTTTTCTCTCAGAATCCATAAAGGAACACCCTGCTCGAAAGCCGTTGTATAAAAGTACACTCGTAAAAATATCATTTAAAAAAAACTTTACTTAAAAAGTATTATTAAAAAAGTGTAAAAAAAATTGTGAATAAAAAGTACGGAGAGAATTAAATATTACGGGTAGATACAACGTACTGAGTAGATTACATTTTTTTCTGTTAAAACTTAACACGGTAGTTTGGAAAATACCTATATCTTCTTAAACATCTTCATGTCCTTATACACACTCGCATCTCTTATGATATATATATATATATCTATGTATATATCTCTTAGCATTTTGTATATATTATATATATATATGTATATTTTTATATAATGTTACTAACGACACAGTGCATTTATGTACATTTAGTCACAGTTCCTGACCCTCGAACCACAATAACTAATGGTGAAAGGAGAATATTCGAGCAAAATCGTGGAATGGTATTCTCGTGTGACATTTTATGCGTAGTTTCAACTTGTCAAGAATATTTTGTAATAAGCACAGAACCGTTACAGCCAAAAGAATGCCAGAAACCAGAGAAGATTCACAATTGATAAGTTACTTTATTTAGATGAGACGTTTACGTTCGTCATTGTACATGTACACTTTTTTTAAATGGTACGTTCTAAAATGTTAGCTACAAGAGAGAGACATTTGCTATACCGAACAGTATCATGATTTCGAAGAAGGTGTAATCGAGCGTACAATTATTGTCCTCGTAAACTGGAGAGTTTGCAACTTTAAATTGCAATATATGTATCCGAAGTCGTTATTTCTATACAAAATGGATAATGTCACGATGAAAGTAATTAGTGCTTCCATAAAATTATCTATGATTCAATAGAATCGCTAGTCGAATCACTGTTGATAAATGTAATTAATTATATTTATGGACGATAAAATCAAAGCAATTCATACATTTATCTTTATAAAATCACTGATCGTCGGAGAAAGACATTTGAATACACTATTAATTCGACAGTATAGCCAGTGATTCTATAGAATTATTAGAAATTTTATAGAATTGCCGAATTAAATATTTCCATCGCAATAAATATATCACGTTGTTCCTCGTTTATGCGTTCTTGGCATTGATCTGGCATGTGAAAAACAAATAGCTTATATTACAAGTGTCGATGATTTTATGTATAACATGAATACTCAGCGTAAAGTTGATTTTAGTATAAGGTCGTAAGTAAAATCGTAAGGTAAAAAAACATTGAACAGTCGATGCAAATGTAATGGAATTTATGGCTATCTATTTCAATATATTTGAAATGGTAAGTAGAAATATTCGAGGTAGAAGCTACGTTGGAACTTTGTACATAAGGGTATCGAGGGCTCGGGAGTACACGAAAATTCAACATACAGTGCTTCTATTTAAATTAGTTTTTTTTCTTCTTTTATAGAAACGTGCGCAAGTTCGCTCGCGCACCTTTCGTTGAATAGGCACCGTTTCCTTTCATCCTTCTTTCACTCGGGTCCTTCTTTCATCCTCATTTCCCTAATGGCGTCGCTTAATCTAGCCTTAAAACAATTTCTTACAATCTACCTAACATTATTATATAATAAGAAGATCCCTACTATTCATAGTGAGTACAGCATTAATAATTGTCAATTTGGCAGTATGGCAATTTTTTTTGTTTCTTGTGAGCGGAAATTTTCATCTCTCTCTGTTTCTCTCTCTCTCTCTTTACGTTGTAATGGCTAAAAAAGTTATTACTCGACTGGTTTTCCGATCCATTTTTCTTTCTACATTAAGTAAGTACTCGTGGAATATGCCACGTACGGTGAATGGTAGGTTCTTATTTTCACGATGTGCGTTTCACACATGCAATTGATCGTGCAGCTCGTGTTTCTCTCACAGACACGGACGTCGACATCGAGACCATATTTCGTTCCTCTATGCAATTCGCTATTGAAGGAAGCACTCGTATCCTCAATAAAGAGAAGAGGTTTTGATCTTAATTGTCTTAGTTTGTAAGAGATACTATGCACGGTAAATGCACTATGTTTCGAGTGGGAGAGATATGGTCGTAGTATCTTCAGTCTATCTTAAAATTAGACCTATCTAGACCTTAAAAAAATGCTTTTGCGAATGATCGACTCGACAATGGGATATGTTTCCAATTCACTAATTCGCGAATGTGACCCTACGCGATGATGGCGGCTCGTAATTTTGATTACATCGTCGTACACGGCTGATTGACTCTTCGACGTAAGAGAATGTCTGGAAAACAAGTTCTTTTCGCTCGCGCGTAAAGAAAAGAACACCGTACGATCGCGCGTGCAAACCACGCGTATTGTATGTACTTCTAAACGGCAGTTTTGACTCATGTCACCGTAAGGGAACTTTCAAATCTAGTTTCTAAAAAGAGATTAGCCTAAATCGACTGCTCCTCTCAGCACTCAGGATATTTGCTGTGTTAGGAGTGAAAATTTCCGGCATATTTGCATTTACTGCAACACCATTGACTAAACATTTCATCACTATATTAATTGCTCACGACACTAGTAAATCGCGCACTGCTACTGTATTTGTCCTTGGAAGGTACAAGTATGTTACACGACTTTATTGTACTAGACACGTCGTACTTTTGCCCTCTCGATATCTCTCTCGCCCCTTTGCCGGTCTCGCTTGTCCCTCGACAGATCCCTCTGCTCGCGAGTGTCGGCTTGTCAGTTGGCGTAATGATCGAAGGAGCCTAAATACTCCAAACTGGCTCGATAGCAGAACTGATATTGATCCTGTAGTGAAAACATCACAATTGATATCGCGGTTATATATATGTGAATACATTAGAAATACGACGCATTGAAGAAATGACAAGTTTACGAACCTCGGTTTGAACCATAGCTGGACGTTGTGTGCGCAATATTCTGACAGTTTGGAATATGTCGACGACACCTTCGTACTGCATTCGCTCCAATACAATGCTAAGCGTTATGAAGACACCCGTCCTCCCCACACCGGCGCTGCAGTGCACGGTGATCGGTCCGTCCTGGCCGAATTGTTCCTTCGTTTTGTGCACCTGTCCGATAAAGTCGATAAAACCGTCGCCGGACTTGGGCACACCCTGTTCCGGCCAGTCGATAAACTGGAATTGCCTGACCGTGCGACTGGCCCCGTCGCGCGCATCCGTCACCTTGAACTCTCGCAGAATGTATTGCGGCATGTTGTACTCCGCGATCGGGTCCACGACGAAGCATTGATAACGGATAGATCGATCGGACGGCCAATACTGGTGGCACTTCTCTCTGCCCATCTCTTTCAATTTTGTCAGCATAACAACGATCGTGGAATTGTGCTCCCACAGCATACGCCAGAAGTCGTCAGTGGTGTCGCACAGGGGACCTTGCGTAGCTATGTAGGCACCGCGATAGCGGTACCCGTCGATCAGGCTCGCATTTATGTAATCAGAACCCTCGATATTACGCTGCGGCTGTAGGCATACTCTGGTGCATTCGTAAGGCAGAATGTGGACCAGTCGATTCTTATGTTTATTACACGGTAGATTCGCGGATATAAATCTGGTCGAGTCAGCCTTTATGTTGGACAGTTTCTTGAATTCCAGTTCCATTCCGGTTATATTGTCGATTTCCGGCTGCATGAGCTTTTGAATGTGGGAATGCAGATTTCTGGCCGGTACCTCCGTGTTGCCGCAAATCACCGCCTCCAGCAAGGCATCGTGAATGAAGATATACTGATCCTCCGTTTGCACCATGTAATTCCTTTGAGCACGTAGACACGTGACGTGGCCGTAAATGTCGATCATTTTTTCGTGTTTGATTCTTTCTAACATCGAGTCTATCACGATGAAACAGCCAGTTCGTCCCACGCCCGCGCTACAATGCACCACCAATGGTCCACTGTCAGGCACGTTGAGGGATCTAACTCTGCGCAAGAACTGCAAGAACGGCGCGGGGTGCTCTGGCACGCCGTGATCAGGCCAGGCTGTAAATTGCAGCTGCTTTATCTCCCGCCGCTCGGAATAGCCTGCCCGGCAAACATGGAACGTACGAATGCAGTAGGTTGCCAGTTCTTGGACGTCGCTGATGGTCACAGTCATCTGTCCGTAAGTCTCGGATCCTCTCGTAGGCCAATACTGATCGCACTTAATCCTCGTTCTCTCCTCCAACTTGGTCATCATTACGATCGTGCTGGTACGCAATTCCCAACACATGCGCCAAAAGTCCCCGAACGTCTCCTGCAACGGTCCCTGGGTGGCCACGTATGCGTTCTGCTTTCTGTAACCGTCGCAGTAATTGGCGTTGATGTAGTCGGAGCCCGGCATACCGTCAACTGTCTGAAGGATGACTCGCGAATGATCGTACGCGATTACATTGGCATAACGATTCTTCGACGCGTTCACTTCCATATTGGAATGGTCCCACGTGAACTGTTGGCCAGGTTCTATTGACTCGTATTCTTGACTGAACTTGAGATTGTCATTCGCTTTCAGGCGTTCAATGTGATTGCCTAGTTCGCTAATAGGAATCGGCGGGTGCGAGATCATGCCAGGGGTTTGGAAATTTAGTCGCCGCATTTCAACCGGGTCCGACGGTGCGTGATTCGAGCTTATATCCGCTGCCATGAGCGGTCGCGTAACGGCTGCTTGATCCGGTGCTTTACACGGCTGTCTTCGTCTGAAATAATTAAGAGACAAATTTGCGATGTGCATCCGATTTAAACCTTAATTTATTCGCAATATTCCCTGTAAGAAATACAACTTACTTTTTAATGACGAATAAAAGTACGAGGAAAACGCTGACCATCAATGCCGCGATTATAGGACCAACTACCCATACCATGCCTGGCTCTTGACCGCTAGTTTTTACAGAAACTTCTGGATTTCCATCCGAAGGCGTGTTAGGGTTTGGCCGACGCGGTGGCTCGCCGGGAGGTACCTCCCTCATGTCCAGAGACAAATATTCGGAAAACGGCGACGACGTGTACAAATGCTGAAAGGGATATTTCATTCATAATTAGACTTATTCACAAATAACTTGTACGCAATCTTACCTTTCGCGGAGTATCGACCACAGCCCGTACGAATATTCTATAACGCTTATTTTTGGCGAGCTTCCGGTTTTCATATCCCTCGTAGATGTCTCCGCTGCCTAAGTGGAACGTATACGGAATGTCTCTGTGTGGAAACTTAGCCGCTATATAGGGCGCATTTTCTCTTTCCTGCTTAGCACCATTTCCGGTGATCATATCCTCGGTCAGCTCATCCGGCTGTTTATTGACCGTGCTCTTGTCTTCAGGTACAACAATGAGATAATAGTGCGAGATTGGACCATACTCCTCGGAAGCTTGCGGTAGGATAACTTGAATCTCCTCGCCGTTAACCACACCGTAGAAGTCCGGCTTTACCATCGGCTTGGGCGCGGCCATCTGTGTAGTGACTGTGATCTTCGACGGTGGTCTGTACTGACCGTCGCGCGGTATAGCGCTCACATTGACGTTATAAGTCGTGAACGGTTGCAGCTCGTTTATTGTCGTACTCGTGACTGTAGGCTCCAATAGGATCTGCCTGCGAGGCACGAGTTGTGTTTGCGTTATACCTTGGGAATCCACGAACTCTTTAACAGCGTCAAACGAGACTTTGTACTTCATCGGGGTCAGTTTTATGGGTGGAGTCCAGGAAAGGACCATCGAATGCGTTGATGAGTCCGGCGCTCTCAGGTTCAACGGTACATCGTCCGGCTTCACCTTCACTGTGACCTTCTCGCTGAGTCTTCCGAGACCAGTCTTGTAGCGCGCCGCCACTGTTATAGCGTACTGCGTGAACTTCTCCAGATTGATGAGATCCGCCGATTCCGTCAAACCGACACTCTTTTGTTTCCACTCATCGAGATCCTCCACGGCGGTTGTTGTGTAGAAAATCTGGTAACCGACGATCTTGCCTCTGTTGGGCACCGGTTCCCACCATACCTCCACGCTGGTATCCGACGTGGCCACGGCTCTCACGGACATCGGAGCTCGGCCTATATCCTTTTCCGTCATTATCGTGATTTTCTCGGAGTACGGACCGCTGCCTTGCGACGTGTGCGCTCGCACGTGAAAGACGTACTCCGTGTTCTCCTCCAGATTCGTGAATACCGCTCTCGTCTTGGTCGTGTTCCTGTCAATAGTGGTAGAGTGATCGTTCTTCTTGTTGAACTGCACGTCGTATCCGATTATCTGGCCGTTTCTGTGCTGCCGAAGCGGTTTGTCCCAGGTCACGCACACAGTGTCGGGAGTTTGAAAGAAGTACGACAGATTCGTCGGTGGCCCGGTTGGCTCGCCTTCCGGACTGAACCAATATCGTACGGTCTCTTGACCGAAGCCGATGTCATTCTTGCCCGCCACCCTGAACTCGTAATCAACGCCTTGTTCTCCTACGGATTTATTATTTGACAAAGTCATTAAATGCAACCAAGTACGGGCAACTTGTAAATTATCCAGTACACAGAACAATTATTATCGCAATAAGTATTATATATATCAAGTGTGTAAAGAAAGAGAATATATGTCGGTGTATATCTTGAAGAATATTTAACTTAGACACGGATATTTTATTTTTATACGAAACAGGACATTAATGCTGGTGCGTGTTAATCTTTCTCACCAAGATCCGTGATTTTGTACGCCTGCTGACGCGTGCCCTCGATAAATTCCTCCTTGAGCGTTTGATTTTTTATACCGTACCGAATACGGTATCCCAGTAGATTACCGTAGATCTGAGTAGGCTGGGCCCATTCGAGCTCCAAGACATCGGGACCTCTGCTCAGGACTCTGAGATAATAACGTGCGTGGTGCTCGATTATGAGCCATTTACGCAAGCACCTGTATCTCGTAGCTTCAAACGGGCGATGCTTACTTTACGTTGACCTGTGGTCTGTTTGGTACACCGCCCGGGGTCCTAACGTGTATCGGTGCCGAACGGTCCCCGTCTCCTTTCCTCGTCAATGCCGCCACCTGCACCGAGTACCTCGTGTCCGGTTGCAGTCCGGTGATGTTGACCTCCAGCACGCCCTCCTCGTGCACGTCTCGACGTATAGGTTCGTTCAACAAGTCTTTCCCCTGAGAAACCATCGCAACCTGTACTGCGAGCCCTCTCCCTTATCTATTTGCATACTCATCGACTCTTTTAAGCTTTACTCGAGAAAGATGTCGTTAACAGATATGCGCGATAATGTAGTCTCGCAATACCATTAATCTACCCCTTTCAAATCTTAATTTGTTCATTGCATTAAGCATACAGGATGTTTTACAAAAGAAACGTGGTTGCCCAATTCTTTCGGACTCTTTCATTTTGCGATAAAATAGGCAATGAATAAAATTGGGGTTGATAGTTTAATATTTATGAGACTACTCGTAACAGGATCTATACTCATGATACACTTCTCCCAATAAATCGTCAAAGTCTTTTTTATCCGTTACAAAATACCCTACACACTCGCTTCAAAGCCCTTTACCGTGTTACTCAGGACGTATGTCCTATTAATACTTGAACGAGGCCCAGCAAGGATAAAGGGACCCGCGATAATATTACACGTGACTAGAGAGACGACAACGAAGGTAAAGGGTTTTATCAGCAAGTTCCGCGTAAGAGCCCAAAACTTCTAACGCCACGCTATTGATCGTGCAGCAGCCGCAAACTGACCTCCTCCCTCACTTCTTGCACGTGTATATGATACCCCCGTATGACGCCGTTCTGATCTTTCGCTTTCGGCGGCTTCCACTCGACGTGTATCGCCGTCGAGTTGATCGGCGTGACTTTGACGTCCTGAGGATCCCCCGGCACTGTAACGCAATCCATAATTAATTCGCGCACTTTACGCCCGTCCGACGTGCACGCTCACAGACACACGGCCCACATACACCCACAGACGTACGCGGACAGGAGATAATAAATAACGGGATTCACTAAACCTGAAATGATAAATAAAAAATCTTTGTGTGAAAGTAAAGCGAAAACACGCTCGGTCGGGAAGAAATAAAAAGGAGCAATGTATAAGTCATTCGCAGTCTGTCTTGTCTGCCGGAAGATCATTACGTCGTTATTTACATTCCAGAGGCGAAAGAACAATGTGAGAAGCGACAAGCGTAATACGTCGGTAGCGACGAGGGTACCCTTTGTCATACGGTGAAACGTATTTAACGGAGGAAAAGCGAGAAATAGAATCATAGTCTTTATACAATGCGCAAAACGTTTTCCTCTACATTTCGCGGCCGTCCACCCGTCGTCTGGTTCGTCGCTGTAAACGGTAAAAAGACAAAGAAAAAAAAGAAAGTGGATGACAGCAAAAGAACGAGGTAGCGGTGTGAGAGAGAGAGAGAGAGAGAGAGAAAGAGACAATCGAAAAGAGAAACCAAAGTGCCAGCGATTGCGGCGGTTGTGGGGGAGGTAGAAATCATAAGTAAAATAAGGCCGCGAACGAAAGAGAAGAGTAAGATAAAAAGGAAGAACGAGAAGACGAAGAAAAATAGTGGAGTAGGTAATTACATGCCGCCAATCACACACGGACAAAACGACGTACAAACAATATTACGAGGCACGTTGTACCCCATGCTCTACGCCCCTGATACGATTACAATCCTCCATTTGAATACCAATAATGCTTTTTTTTCTCTCTTTTTCTTTCTCGATTTTTTTTCCTCTTTCTTTCTTTAGCCCGCGCGCGCATTTCGGTTCGACTTTGCATATATAAGCGCGCGTGGACACGTCACACGGTAAGGTACGCGGTAACGTCGGGCACGATAACACAGCGGCAATATTGGAGAGTCCATGACTTGAGAGAGACCAAGCAGATAGTTAGTTGCACGCGAGTTTCCGCGGAGAGGGTTGCAGCGGGAGGGCAGCGAGGTACGCTCGCCGGGGGATGAAAGTTGCCGCGACGACCGACGACGACGGGGTCGCCGGGATCTTGGCTCCTCGACCGCGAACGCGAGGTAGTGGCGGTAAATATACGCACGTTGCCCATTTAATAACGTTTATTTACGACCACGACCGCTGCGCACGACTGTTGGAAGCGGCCGGGGGTGGTCGCGACCTGGTCGTCGCCTTGGGGGTGCCAAGGACGCCGGGGTCTCCGCGGGACGAGGCGACTCGATTGTTTCATGGACGGTCCAGTATGCGTCGTAAGTCGCTAAACGGCTAATTGGCGCGTTGCGAGAGAGAAATGGGGAAAACGTAAGACGTGGTGAGGAAAATAAAAATCCAGACAAAAAACCAGCACTGCCTAATACCTACTTCCGCACGATATATAATGTAACAGTAACAGCAGCTCTACTACGGCGGAGGGATTCGCAAAAAACGAAACTTGCGCCGCAACGAAAGTACATACAGAAAATTCCGACGCAGAAACTGAATCGTCGTAGCGCGAACTTGATGAGAAGCGATTGGAAGATCGCGTGCTCGCTCTGCTTCTAGCTCTCGCATGTATACACAGTCAGGTAAGATCAAGATCACACTTACAACTTCGCTATGTAGCGCAAAAAACAAGGGTGGCGAGCGCGCGCAGTCGCAGCGTTATAATGTATGTAATATAATATATGTTCCTTAAGATTATATTATAATATATTCACTGGCTGCAGCAAAAGAAAAAAAGAATAAGACAAAACAACTGTGGGACGACACCTCGAGATTGGATTCTCTCGACAGACAACAAAATGAGAGTGTACATATGCAAAAAACGAGACGGTGACAAAAGGGAAAAGTGAAACAGAAAAAAAAAGAAACTAGACGGTATAGAAAAATGTCATGGCACAACTCGAGAGACGAGCTAAGGGATACTCACTTTTTTCAGCTGCGCCCCAAAAGTCGCCAAAAAAGTGGGAAAAAAAACTCGTAAAAATTCGTGTCAACTTCGCACGTACATTGAGTAAGAATTACAGTGTAATTTAATTAATCTTTAAGGCATATCAATGGGTAGCACACTACTGATTATCATCAAAATTGGCCCTCTCTATATAATAACTATATTCTCGATTTTACGACAAAAAAATGTAGATCTCGTTATCCTTCTCTTCTCGAGGCAGGCACGCGTTCGCATTCGCTCGATTCGGTCCTTTCGCTCCGGCCACATGCGCTCGATTGACAATCACATCGCTTATTACGCAACTGCTAACGAATGTCGGTGGCAACAAGATTCATGATTCCAATCGATCGTTACATAGACCAAAAAAAAAAAATGAATGATCGCTTGGCCCTCGGTTGCAGTTGGTCGCAGAGAGGCGGGAGACGTGAGAATATCTTTTTTTTTTGGCATGCGCAATCACTACTCCAAATATGAAATAACTAAAGGCTCAATGTGTTCACCTGCCTCGTGTCGGGGACGGGACACGAGGGCCAAATGTCTCGCGTTTCTTAAAAATTTACCTCCGAAATCGTCGCGGGCGACAGTAATCCTATCAACGTACACCTCGAATCTTCCCCCTGCTCTTCCTCCCCCGACACGAGACATGAAAGGGAAGACCTATGATAAAATGCCTACGAAAAGAAAGCTATGTAGGTAGGAGAAACCATAAGAAAGAATAAGGTGGACGGTTTCTAGGAAGTATCAAACGAGAGAAAAGGTTTCGTCGGTTATCGCTACGGTATTCTATATAGAAATGGGCAGCCGTGAGAAAAACTCGCGATTTACTCTCGTGAGTATTTTACGTAGTCAAAAATTCACGATACAAGATCGGGATACATGTCGGTGGGGTGGAGTGTCTTCGGAGGAAAAATTGTTTTTACTTTCTCTTGCTCTTCTTTTTGCAACTCCAAAAAGTCACCCGCAAAAAACAGCAGCTCGATCAAAAACATTTGTCGTTTCAGCAAAGGGGGAGGCAGGGTAAATTAGAGAAAAAGAGAGAGAGAGAAGAGAGGGGGGGGAAACTAAAAGAAAGAAATAGAGGTGAAAAGAGAGAGACAGATAGCGAGACCACTCACCCCCGTTTGGGATACTGTAAAAAAGTATCCCGCTATTTGTCTCCTCTTCCCCCTTTTCTCTTTTTTTCCTCCCTCCTTTTTCCTCTCTCCTCTTTCTTTCTCTCAATGTCAACATCCACCCGCGCATTCATCCACGCAAAAATCACAAAATCCCGCGTAAAACGCGCGCGTAAATACGTTTCGACAGCCGTTGCCGAGACGCGGTGGTGGAGGTGGTGCCGGGCCCGTTTATTTGATTAACGAATCGTGCTCGCGTACCTGTCGATGATCGAGTGTGGTCGAAACTGTCGATGACATCTAAAATGTCTAATTCAAATTGGCGGAGCTAGCTGGGTCGAGCTAAGGGAAACGAACTGTCATAAATCATGCGTTTTTATTGGGACATAACAGTAAGATAGTTTACGTGTCAAGTAAAAAATTGGAGGAGACAATCAGGAACAAGTCAAAAACGGGCAGCCGAAGCTTTTAAGACTTTAAATTACGCCTACGAAAAGGAGCGTTGCTTCAACCGTTAATTAGAAGTCCAAAGATATAGAAAGGAAATAAATCACATTTACATATACAATGTAATATTATATACCTTCTCTAGATACCCATGTGAAAAAAACGTGTGCGTGTTTCTCGAGATAAAAACAGTAGAATGTAGAAAGAGATATGCTATATATGGCTTTTAAACATAAGTATTTCGCACATATCGAAGTATCATCTGAATAACAGAGTACTATGTTTCACTTATAGAGACACAGAAGTTGGAAACGGATCAGAGTCTCGCATGCAGAGAGCGAAGATATACGTAATAGAAAACGGCCGTCGGAGTGACTACGTATGAAAATTAATGGGAGTCGCAGTCTACATATGTCCAGATTTCCCGTTTTCGTCCATGCGGTCAGCGCAGCACACGGTAAGGTTATCTCTCTCTCTCTTTTTCTTTAATAGCCAGAGCGTACTTCATCCGCGCCGGATACTTTACGCGCGAGCAGAAGTTGAGAGTTCCATTTTCGAGCGTGCGCTTCGCATTTCCGTTTCCTATGCGTGCCATTAAAAAAAAACCACACACAAAAGAAGGGGGTACGTTCTTCGGATATTAAAGGTCGTCGATCGTTTCCGGCGAAGTCGACGTTGGAAACGATTTACTCTCGCCGAATCCACGAAAGTTCTGACTGATAAGCATATGAGAAATGAGAATATAATCAGAAACAGGTCTCTGATGTGAATATTGGTATTCAAATGTTTTCGAGAAAACGCCCCGCGAACGTTTTTTCTCTTCTCACTTGGTCGATACAAATTATCCGACTCTCTTATTCGTCAGGGATGTTTGGGCGCAGAGAAAATATCGCGCGAACTCTTAATCTGATCTCCATTGTATGTACCGTTTTTCTTTGTGACTAATCACTTCCCTGGTTTTTTTTGCTTTTTCGTTACTTTTCGCGTACGCTTTCTTACGCGTGTCGTCCTCCTTCCATCCGGTATCCTTTTACACAATCACTCACGCATTCACGCGCGCACCTTCCTGTCGCGGTCTCGAAAAAAATGTATCGCGGGCCAATCGATTGTCACCTTTACCACGGTATTATCCGTAGTATCGGTTATAAATTCCTGCACGCCCGCGGAAAAGTAAATCCTGGACAAAAGCAGCGCGTCCGCACGAACCGATTATCTACGGTTTAAATAATTTTCGCGTCTCCTTCCGGGTGACTTCTTAACGCAATCCGCTCGTGCGCGTCATCTGCCTTCCTCGTTCCGACTTTTCGCAGGCGTTTCGCGGATTAATAGCCGATACAACGATATAATTTCACGAATATTACCGGGTCGCGCTCTTTTTTTTACAGCAATGAAACGAACAATGTCGCTCGCAGCAACGATCCATCCGTCCATTACCATTTCGGTTATTATTATGGCTTTTGCGCCGCGCACCATTTCGAGATCGCCTCAGGAAAGAGCTTCAGGTTGCACGACAGTCGACAGTGGGGGTGCTTTTCGAGGGTGCTTTCAGTGCTGGTGCTCGGCGGCACACGAATATTGCATCGTCTATAACAATATTTATTCGGACGTGTATAGCCGCTGCTGTGCACGGTGCTCTCTCACGCAGCATGTGAGCGTTAACGCCTCTACGTATACGCATATCCAAGTAATCGCACACGCCCGCGCGCACGTGTCCTACGTGAATGCTACGTGCTATCTCGCAGCCGAATTGTTCGTAAAAGCGGGTGCTTGTGCTCTTGAGAATCGGTGCGCAGGGGGTGTGAGGGGTTTTGTGGGGGGGGGGGGGTGTGAGGGGTTTGTGGGGGGGCAAGAGGGGACAAAAGACTACGATGACGCGGCGCGGCGACCAGCACCACGTGCGACCCCCACGCACGTGCGTGTACGTTCGCGCGTGGCACTGCGAGACTCCGCGGAACGTGCGTGTATATTATGCGTGCGTTGGTGGTGGTGCGAGAAGTAATAATGAATGCGAAACACACGGTGCCGGCGCGCAGTTTACGTGATTTTTGCTAAGTGCCCGTGCACACATACGTATACGGTGTGAGACAGTATATATAATAATACCATGTAGCAGCAACGTGATATCTCTCGGTAAATAGCGAACGATGACAGTCAGTAATAGTAGTGAACGTATGCGTAGATATATGTATGCTATACACGTGACGGTGAATCTTTGTGCTTGACAATGTGCGAGCTTACACGGCAGGGTGCTTTCAGCAGTGCTTTTTATCGTTTCGCCTCGCTCTGCCGAGTCTGCTTCGGGAGGGTAAACGGGAGCACCCGGATCAGTTGCTCCGCGCGAACGGGATAATGCCGGGAACGGGGGGTCTTTTAGGAGCCGGGGGCGCAGGCGGAGAAACGAAAGAGGATTCTGAGGGGGGGGGGGCGTGTTCCATGGCGGTGAACGGTGAAAGGCACACGGGAAGATCGTTACGTCGGTACGACTTTTCCTTCGACAATCATGGCGACATAATACCTCCGCGACAAACGATGCTCTCTCTCTTTTGCCACGCGTCCGACGCGGAATGTCTTCATAGCCCGTTAGATAAATAGGATGGCGCTCGCACGATTCCCCTCTTTTCCTTACCTTACTTCCACCCTCGCTCTTTCGGCTCTTTCTACCCGGGCACAATTTTCGTTTTTAATTTCAGCTCTCTCGTTCGATTATCTTTTTCAATATCGCAAACCCCGTTGTTTCTGCTTACCCGCGCTGCGAAACTTTTAACGATCACGGTCGTACCACCGCACCGCCCCTTCTCCGCGCACCGAGAGAAGTTATCGTTACGATTAAATGATTTCCCGGGGAAATATCGCGGCTAACGACCGCGCGGAGATTTATTTTTTTTCAACAACTACCATATAAATATCGTGCAAACAAATTTTTTTTCCCTCGGTGCCGAATTCGTTTGTTATGGGAGAGGGATCGTGTGTGGACGTCATTCGGCAACAGGGAGGGGGACGAAAAACGTTCGACATGCGGGATCGATCGGCACCTTCGACGGGATGCCGCTCGGCTGGGACGGGGACGGGAAGTTAACAGAAAGCAAAACTGTCTCATGCATCGGCATGCCATTCATAGGATATAGACATGGTGTAAAATGAACGTGTTTGCGGGAACGTGATTATCGCAGACTCGACAAAGTTCGGCGGACTTTGGTGCTCGGGGACGAAGAGGTGGGATCGTGTGGGAGATCCGGGTTTCTTTCCTTTCCTTCAGACGGGACGAGAGTTCGAGGGGGTTGCGTTTCCGGGATTCATGGGAGTCGAGGAGTCTTTAAACAAACGAAGGCATGCTCTAAACATGTGCAAACGATAGGTAGAACTAAATCTCAACTAAAGACAGAAGAGCCTTATATATCAGAGATATAGAAATATATATATGTGTAATATATATATATATAATGAAAAAGTGCGTCTCATATATATATATTCTTGTGTGTGAGATAACATTCGCTAGAGTTTTTATATATATATACGTAAGCGCTTCACTCGCAAGCTGTCCCTCGCGTTGCCATTACTTTCGTCTGATTGTTGCGCGTGTAACAAGTTGTTATTTAATTTCGTTCGTTAGTGTTATTTACATGTTTCATGTGGCCTATGCAGCTAGTGATACGTATATGTATTTAAAAAAAAAAGAAGAAAAAAAAGGAGTTGCGGAAATAATGGCACGCGGGGCAGCCAGCCTGACTTCTATCTTCATAACACGTGGCAAGAGTGAATTAATAAACTAAAGGAGAGAAACGAAACATCTTTACTGACGTAACCACGGTAACCACCAGAAAGAACATTGAGTGTAATGAGTACATATTATTAGGTAATATTGATATATTACGATAATGTGAATAGATCTTAAAAACTAGCTGTTCAAAACCTGGATCATCCTCCTGCAAATGCTTTAAGGAAAGACAAAAACACTTGAGTGAGTATAATTAGATATTAATTAGCGTGTCAAAATAGATATCCAAGTTTTAAAAGTGGGGCTGGGGGGTGAAAAAAACCAACGGCAACGAACAAAGAGAGAGTTGCGATTAGGCCCTGTAAAAACGTTAAGAAAATTCGTTTCTTTCTTTTTCATCTTTTAATAGCTGAGCTCAAAAATTGGTTATCAGCTTCTGAAAAATCCGTGGCTGCGTGCACCTGGAAAAAATGATTGTGGGCACACTAGAAGACGGGGGGGGGGGGGCGTTGAAGGGGGAGAGAGGGATCTGGAGGTTTCGGGGAGACTTCGGGGAAGCTAGAACAAGTCGGAGATTTTATTACCGCAAAAAATCCAAAAATATAAAATCTCGCCAGCCAAAAAAGTAGGGCCATCATCGTTTCATGTTTCGCGTGGATGCCGTTTTATAAAAATCGGAAGAGTGAAGGAGGTTACGAAAAGAACGACAGGAAAGCGATCGGAGTAGCGTGATCGGAGAGGCACGAAAAATACAAAAAGTCGTGCGCGCTCAAAACTTTTGTTCGCGCAAAAAAAAAAGGTAACCCGACCGGAAAAAAGGGCCGTGTCCGTCCTCTTTTCCTCTCTCGTGCACGATGGTGCGATTCGATAGTTCGTTTCTCGAAACTATAACTGTAACACAAGAACGGCGTGAGAGAAGAGGAAAGCTCATATATATAATATAATACAGAGTATAATATATATATTGTATAATGTAATTTAATAGAATATAATAACGTAAATACAATATAATATAACATGAGTGTAGAATCACTGGAGAAAAAAGATAGACGATAGAGAGGACACAGAACAGAAAATCATGATAAAGGAGAGAGAAGAGAGAGAGAGAGAGAGATAGAGAGAGAGAAGAGAGAGAGTATCTGGTATCATTTGAGAGTTTGGGAAGAGAGACAGGTGACGAAGTGACGTTAGCGTAATCTGAAATCGAAAATTTACAGTAATGTATATCATACGTAATGCATTCACCGGATCAAGAATAACACGCGGCGTGTCGTCGCAACCCGCACTGGAACCGCGCGAGAGTATTAAACCGGACTGACTTTTGGCGGGCTTTTATATTTTTGGCTCTCGGATGAGGCGCGTTATTACTTCATCCCAATATATAATATATTTCTTCCTCGCGAAGCTTAGCGTGTGAAATTCGTAGCGACCGCGGCGGCGTTGAACGATCGGGGGGGGATTCTTGTTTTCTATATATCAGTTAACACGTGTTTCAGTGAAAGGAAACAACGGGAGATGATATCGCGGTCGTATCGATTCTCCGTTAATTATTATATTGCGACAGCTACTGAAGAACGTCGGCATCATGGTACTCGTCCTCGCGCGCTGTGCGTCACCACGGATTTTACACGTTACTCCTCGCGTGCCTGAGGTTAAACAGAGAGACTTTCAGTCAGTGTCTGTGATACATACCGTCCTCGTGAGTTCTGACCGAGATAGGATAACTCGGAGGCCCGTCACCTACTCTGGTCCCGGCCAGTACCCAGATCCGATACTCGGTCCACTTTTTGAGCTCGTCCAACACGAAACGCGTGTCATTCAGTTTGATATTCCTCGCCTCGGAGTCGGAGCGACCGCTCTCGACGACTTGCAGCCTGTAGTAGGCGATCCTCCCGTTGGAACGTTCAGCGGCCGGTGGTTCCCACGTTACCAATATGGAAGTCGGGCTGATCGCCTTGCCGGTTACATTGCGAGGCGGAGCCCCGGGGACTGTATAACACTCAGTTGTAGGAGGGGAAAAAAAACAAAATCGGGGGTCATAATCGGCAGTTACCAGCCGATCGTACTAAGTCTCTGGCTTGAGGTCAAACGCGAGGATACGAAAAGTTCTGCGGCGTGACTATTGTCACTTCGTCGTCGGATAATTATTAATTCATTTGAACTCGGCCTTGTGAGATTTCACGAGTTCTATACACGCTTCTCGTTTCAAGATACAAATTGTAATAAGTGACATCTTTATGTATGAGCGAACGATAGACGAGTTAGTACGCCGAGCGATGAGCAAATGAGTTCTCGTATTTCTCGACCTGACGGTCTCAACGCTGAGACGAGCGCACAATCGACGGTGACTGTCGTGGGATACCAACGAAACGGTATGTTGGGCCAAGGTTCAGACGGGTGTAAAATATTCAAGGTAAAAAGTGAATCGATCCTTGAACAGTCGAAAAAAGACGTGATTAGAGACAGTTCTCCCGGTGCGGCTCGTGTTAACTCGGGCGTACGATCCGCAGAGTTAACGAGTTTACACGTTTATATAATTGCAAGGGAACGAGACAACGAAAAACTGAAGAACGGACGATAAATCAATCATGTTATTGAGAATGAAAAGAGGTGCCCAAAATGCACACATATATCAATGCAGTGCTTAGTGCAATTTATATGTATGATATGTACGTATATATATAGATATATATATATAAAGTGGCATCCAAAAACGGCTTTCTTATTTGCAATGCATGCAGTCATTCTCACTCTCCCACACTTCACTTGTTATTCTCTATTATTTTTTCTGTCTTTCCCTTTCTTTTCATACGCTCTCTTTTCCTTTTTCTTTCTTTAATAAACGCGTTCTCGAAGACGAAAGGTCTCCGCTTTCTCTTTTCGTTTCTTTTCAAAGGCTCTTTCCAAGGTGTTGTGCGTCGATAGCTTACGCTACTTGCAGGAGCGTCTAGCGCTACAGCACCTCCTACCTGCTGTGCCGTCGCGATGCGCGGTCGTGCGCGAGGACCCGCAGGACACAGGTGCGTCTTACCCGAGATCGCCACGATATCCGGGCGGTCGAGCAGCCGACCGCCTTACGGCCTCGCGACAATCGCGCATCAGCATGCGTCTGGCACTCCTCGCTGCATGAACTTGATTCGATTTCGTATGCATTCGTGCGCGTTCTGCTTACCGTACTGTTTGGTGCGAACCGGATACGGTATCGTCGTGGCACCCTCTCCCCTTTGACTCCTCGCGGCCAGCCACACGTAGTACAGAGTGTTCGGATACAAGCCGGTCAAAGTGTAGTTCTCGGTCACCGGTATCCTGCGATGATGCTTTTCCTGATTCGAGCAGAAATGCCGGGTGCGTTAGGTCGCGTAGATTAATCATCTCTCTTAAAATTCTAACATCTTTTCAACTTCCTCCCCCGAACTTCGCTCCATTCTACTCCCGAGCGAATAAAAACAATTCGTTCATAGTCTTTAATTGTTCAATTAATTCAGAGAACAAAGGATATTATTAGGGATCAATGCACGATGAGTGGCACTTAGGCGCTGAGTGAGGCTGGACAACCCAAGTTATCGTTAAGAAAAGAAGTTTACTTTGACATAAAAAAAAATGTATAACTGCCTACCTTCGCGTAAGTGTCATTCCAGTACAGCTCATAGCTGAGAATATTCTCAGCGCTATGAGCGGGCTTGCTCCATTGGAGCGTTACTTTGGTCTCCCCGATGTCGACCGCCGTTAGCATTTCGGGCTGACTCGGTACCCCTTGCTGTGTTTTGATTTGCACCGGCAGACTAAGTGGTCCAGGACCGACGCTCGTGAGCGCCTGGACTCTTATGGTGTAGATCGTGTGCGGCGTCAGCTCCGAGATGGTTGTCAATTGGCTGTTGTCCACCATCTGGTACTGCCACGACGCCATGGGCTGATTCGAGTCCGTTGTGTAGTACACTTTGTATCCCTACGGGGGGGAGCATATCGCGCGATAGTTAGCGACAACGTTAACGAAAGTCGGGGAAAGCCGCGGTGAAAGATAATTTCGGGAGAGACACCGACCGTCACTTGACCGTTCGGGGTTTCCGGTTCGTCCCACTGTATGACCATCGTGCTGGAGCTCAACGGCCGTACCTGAACTTTCCGCGGCGCTGTACCGGGTTCTAAAAAAGAGATTAGCCAGTTTTTAGCGTTATTAGAGAGACCGGACGAGGAGCAGCCAAGATACACACGAAGGCGCGGAAGGGCAGTACACGTCAGTTAGTCACGCGGTAAGAAGCCCTTCAAAAAGAAATCCTCCAAAGAAAACCACCATAAGAACCAAGAGCAGGTGCAGTGTAAAAATAGGGAAGAGAAAAACGAAATTAAATTCCATTTTGGCAACACTAGCGGTGATAAATGGGTACATTTTCAAAAATTTACACCGTACGCAGTTAACTACAGAGATCTCCAGATTGCGCACGTGTCGATGTAATAAGAGTGGCAAAGTATGCGCGTTTGTATCGGTGAAAGTGACAATCGTGTGTGCGCAAAGTAACGAAACGAGATCAAACCAAAAACTTCCAGAACTACACAGGGACAGGCAAAGAAAAATCGGTGTGAATGAATCACTACGGCACTCTTAGTATATGATTTGACTTACTGGCACCTCCATTTGTCGATTCCGCTATCCGAGAAAAAAAAACAAATGTCAAACGATTATTGTCAATTCTCGAAATATAAATGCGGGCAGTAAATGCTGAGTGAAAATACGAACTGCGAGAGCGGTACGTGTCTCCTTCGTATTTTCACGAGGTGAGAAGTGTGCTACTATTCTGTTAGGAAAGGTGCAATTTCGCGTGCTGTCTTCCCCGCGTACTCGTTTCTCGCTCCCCTCCCTTCTTTTGTAAAAAAGGAAAAAAGGAGACGGAGACGCGTACTTTCGAGACGGAGAAAGAGATAGAGATAGATAGATATATATAAAGAGAGAGAGAGAGAGAGAGAGAGTGAAAAAAGTGAAAGAGGCAGTGTGGGAGGCTGGGAACAAGGGGTTGGGGATATATAGTGTAAAAAAATACACAAATGACACGAGACGTCGAAGCGCGACGAAACGCTGTGGAACGGCCCCGCAAAAACACTAACACACTGGTGCAACAAAGAGCAGATGGGGCGGGAGGGTTTTTGGTGATAGGTGAAAAAAATTTTCTTGTCACTTACATGGATCAAATCGTGCGTCCACGGCGGACAGCATGGAAAAAATACAGAATTTCCCTCAAAAATTGTGCGTAAAAATTCGCTCCTCTTTCTCGATGGCGTGTACAAAAATTCTATCTACGTGCAAAAAATTCACGCTCACGTCGGAGTAGTGCCGTTCCTCCACTACGCCTTTACGTTATTGTTCTCCGATCCTCGCGGACGTGGATGCGCGGAAAAAAACGGGTCGTCGAGTTCGTTCGCGTTTTAATCGGCGGGCAATGCACTTGCCGCGAGACGCACGGTATGTTCATTGCAGAAATGAAACGTGAGTTGATTCATGAGTGGGTTTACTTTGTCGTAGCGGTCGTGATGCGGACGTCCAATAAAGTTTCCGTGTACGTCAAAGATGATTGATTGATTTAATAGATATTGTTACATCTGGCTGAGCTCGCTCGAACGATGCGTTCGAGACTGACGAGAGGAGAATGTTGAATAAAATAAGACACATTTCTGTAGAAACGATATTTTCCCTCATTTGTTAATTTGGCATGGAAGCGGCGAATTAGATGAGATTTTCTTATATCTAAAGGTCAATCTAATTCTAATGATATATGCACGGATGTTAATCACTAATCATTAGTGTTAGTTATGAGTCTATTCCAATATAATACGAAATAAAGACTTTCTTAGGAAAGTTAATTCTCCGAATAATACATATATGTTACGGGAAGCGTGAACCATATGTTTCGAAAAGGAAAATAATCGCTTCTAGCCACAATAGAAGCATAAAATGGCCAGAGAATAGTATATAGGAAATACTATGGTACTGACTTGTTTCACCAGTGGTGACCATCACCGGGGCACTTGGGGGACCACGCCCGATGCTGTTCACAGCTATCACGTAGAGCTCGTACTCCGTATACGGGCTGAGACTCCTAACATGGTAGTACATCGTCGTGATACCGGATATTTCGGCATATGCCTGGTTCACGTGCTTCGGTTTATGCTGAATTACGTAATACTGCAGCTCATCCGGTCCTTTGTAGGACCAGCTCAGCTTCACCGACGTCGCAGTGATGTCGGACACTTGAACGTTCTCCGGCGGACCGGGAAGAGCTGCGAGGGGCAGGGTTTATTACGACTTTACCTCTCCATTTCGATTTATAAATATCGCGTCTAAGTCGCGCAGAATACGAAATCATTTATTCAAGCGCCCGGAGTTAGTGTAAAATCGTCGCGACATTTGCAAGCTCCAGGAGAAAGATATTACAAACGCTAAATTTTATTGACCGTCATGTGTAACAGCAAAAACCTTCTCCCCACGAAGATCCTTTTCCAAATAAGCTCGTTGATCGATTAGTTATCCGGTGAACGCAATGCACGATTAATCAGCTCGCATCATGTGATCCGCGATAACAGAATGTATCTAAGTTAAAGGAGGGGACTCTAGGTTTAAAGTTTGATACGAACATTGAACTTTCACCACCGTGGTCATGTCAATTACACCGAGATCGCTGGCGGCTGTGCACGTGTAATTGGCGGACTCCTTGATGTCCGTCAGCTTCAGGACATTTTTGCCGACCGGCAGGTCGTCTTCCGGCGTTAGGTCCGTCGCCGGGTCCTTTCTCCACTTGACGTAAGGCATAGGCGCGCCCACGGCGACGCAGGTGAGGTTCAGCGATCCGCCCAGCATTACCTCGCTCACCGGCGGTGGAGGAATCGAGAAGGTTGGTGAAACACGACGTACTGAAGTACACAGCACAGTCGTCAGGATAAATGTCTCTTTCAGCGACTTAAATTTTAATCTAGTTTCTTGCAATTTTTTTATCCTTTT